GGAGTGCCTCAAGGCTCTGTCCTGGGACCTCTGTTGTTTATAATATATATAAATGATTTAGATTCAGGTTTGAGTAGCAACATTTGCAAATTTGCCGATGATACGAAAATCGGTAGGGAAATTAATTCGGAGGAGGACTCACTATCACTTCAAGTTGATCTAGATAGGGTTTTGAAATGGTCAAAGGATTGGCAGATGCAGTTTAATGCTGATAAATGTAAAGTTCTGAGGTTAGGTAATGATGATAGAGTTACAAGATACGAGCTAGATGGTGTTGTGATTGCGAAGTCGGATTGCGAAAGGGATCTGGGAGTTATGATTAGTAAGAATTTAAAACAAAAGGATCAATGCATAAATGTTCGTAACAAGGCAAATCGGACACTTGGATTTATTAATCGCAGCGTTAGTAACAAGACACCTGGTGTGGTTCTCAAGCTATATCTTGCTCTAGTTAGGCCCCATTTAGATTATGCAGTTCAGTTTTGGTCGCCATATTATAGAATGGATATAAATTCACTTGAACGTGTCCAGCGTAGGATGACTAAGTTAATTCCCCAAATTAGAAATCTTTCATATGAAGAAAGATTAACAAAGCTTAAGTTGCATTCACTGGAAAGGCGAAGAGTTAGGGGTGACATGATAGAGGTTTACAAGTGGATGAATGGACATAACCGGGGGGATATTAATAGGGTATTAAAAGTATCAACACAGGACAGAACACGAAACAATGGATATAAATTGGATAAGTTTAGATTTAGGAAAGACTTGGGTAAATACTGGTTCAGTAACAGGGTTGTTGATTTGTGGAACCAATTGCCGCGTAACATTGTGGAGGTGGGGTCCCTCGATTGTTTCAAGCACGGGTTGGACAAGTATATGAGTGGGATTGGGTGGTTATAGAATAGGAGCTGCCTCGTATGGGCCAATAGGCCTTCTGCAGTTACCTTTGTTCTTATGTTCTTATGTATTGTTTGTATATGCATTTTTGTTTTGTGGTCAGCCCTTCTGGCTGGTCTTCTATTGATTTGTTCCTTTGTCCTTGTACATATGTGTGCTTTGTACTTTTGTTCTATGTTATATTTGTTCTGTTTTTCTTGTACATTATCCGCATGCTTGCATGTAAAAATAAAAATAAAAAAAATAAAAAAAATTTACTGCTTAATTCTATGTACATAGTTTGGGGTTTCTCTATTACTTTAGGAAGCGTCATACACAAAGCTAATACTCAGGCATCAGTTTGCATGTATGAACATAATGATCTCTTACACATGGTATAGCTAGTGTGGTGTTATGGTCGAATCGCGTTCTCGTTCTTGCTAATTTCTTTTTATTCGTTAACTCACGAATGTTTCTGGTTTCGTGGCAATATTTGATAATTTTGGTTGCACTAGTAGATTTAACCAGGTTCTTCAGGCCTCGTTGCACTACCTTGGCCTGGGTATTTGCTCACGTCTGTCTCCAGCGGATGGCAGGGATTACAGCCTCGGCTCTCAGTACTCGGATCAAGCACTACGTAATTCACCTTACTGAGTTCTGTCACTCCATCCAGGATGGCAGCCTCACACTTGAGCTATCTCCAAGTTAATGGTTTCCTTGATCTTATAACATGACCTCATATCGCACTTTGGCCATCGTAAAATATCTAGACTCGAGATGATGACAACCCAACCAACTAGGCAACCCGTTCTCGCAAATTCGTAAAGTCAATATTGACTTATTAACTACGTGCATAGGTGATATACTAAACATAATAGATACCCTTAAAAAGATTCATAGAAAACACCGACCTTACCTAACCTTGTTAGTATCTTAAGATAAGCATCTTATTGCTTCGTAATTACAATTATTACTTAACCTATACCTATTATAGGTTAGGTAATAATTGTAATTACGAAGCAATAAGATGCTTATCTTAAGATACTAACAAGGTTAGGTAAGGTCGGTGTTTTCTATGAATCTTTTTAAGGGTATCTATTATGTTAAGTATGTCACCTATGCACATATTTAATAAGTCAATATTGACTTATTAAATTTGCGAGAACGGGTTGCCAACTAGAGTGGTTGGGACCCCAACTTGACTAGAGTGTGACCTGAATTCATGCTGCCCTGTACACATCAGGTGCTCATCATCACCTTCATCTGGGATGTACAAACACCTGAGTAATTCCCCAACTCTTACAAGAAGCCCATCTATTTACGGTCTGTTAGCATAAGATATAATAGAAAGTCTGCGTGTGGTATTCAAGGACTGTTAGCGCCAGATACACTTACCTGTATTTACCTTAGGGCCACTGTCTCCTTAGTGGCCGACCTTTGGCAAGCCGCCACTGTCTCGACTGGAGCAAGAAAGTGGCGGCTTGCCAAAGGTCCTCCTATTGTTCCTGAGGATTTTTTCTATTTGGATTTTAAACTGAAGTAATACCATGGCATTTAGAACCTTGATGGATAAAAAGTTCCATGGGCTAATAGCACTTTGGGGTAGCGAAAGCATCTGCTGTTTTCTTCTTCTTGAGAGTAGGTACAGTTGGCATGAAGGGTTTGACCTCCCGATGACAGCACCAGAACAGAAATTGGGAGATGTGTGAATGTTGAGAAAAATAAAGAGTTTAAAAAATGCTTGTTGCATGGAGCCGTAAATAGAGGAGCGGCGACTAGAACAGAGGCGTAAGTTAGAGGGAGACCTGTCGCACCATAGGGCGGTGCGTGGAGTTTAAAGCTTCGCTAGTTGATCTACAAGGCCATTACGGAATATATCACAATGCACTGGGACCCATTGAATAGAAAATACAAAACATGGAACATAAACAAAGTCAAGGCACACAACAATATGCCTGACAGGCCCACAGCAGATATAACAATCGGTAGACGAGTACAAGCAACGCCACACCTACTCATACTACTCCGGAAAGTTCGCCATCGGAAACTGGAGACAGTACACTTCTCAAAGACACTCCATATCAGGATTGACAGGTGCACGAGGATGCGCCATGATTTCTGGAACCCTGGACATAAAAACACATACAGGAGGTACCCAAATAATAGACGGGCACAGAGGAATCATCAACACCTGCTCCGACTGTAAAGGCATCTCACTAGTACGTATTTCGTCGAAAACATCTTCCCCAACAGGCCGGCCATCCAGGTGAACCTCGCAGGAGACGTCCGCAACGGGCTGCACCACAGGAGGAGGCACGTCAGGGGGCAACACCACAGGGGCAACATCCGGAACAACAGCCACAGGGTCGGGCACCGGCACAGAATCCCCGCGACGGACATCCTTCCTGAGGACCACTACAAGGCCCCGGCCCACATCACCATTCGTACCACCTACCACAGGAGGAGGGACCACCCCCCACTGCGAGGAATCCCCTGCAGGAGAAGAAACAGAGGTTAACGGAGAGACATTGACACCGGTGGCAACAGCAGGCACGTGAACCCCCTCCACCTTTGTCACAGGCGAAACCGCCGCCCTAGGTACCACCCCTTCGACACCCGCAGACTCACAAGCTTCAAAATCACCCACATCGACCCAGTCAGGAGAAGTGAAATGCCGCGAGCGCTTGGAACCCCTCTGCACATCGTCAGAACCGGAGGCAGAACCAGAAGCACGGGAAGCGTAGGAGGGGCGCACTTTCGCATGGCGCAAGATGTCAGCAGCCATGACTAAAGGGGGAGGGGGACCGGTCCCAACACAGCAGGAGGCCCTACCTCCACATCACCCCTCCGCACAGCCGGGACAAGTAGCGAGGACGGAGAGACAGAATCCACAGGACAAGGCAGATGATCCGGCGCAGAAGACAAAGAAGCTGGAGATGGAGAGGGAGCACCTGGGAGATTTACAGCAGCACCAGGAACGCCGCCAGTAGCAGTACACCCAACCGAGGATGGCACAACCACCGGAGCACAAGCCCTACCAGTAGCAAGTGCACCGTCTGGCACAGGGCACGTCACATCAGCCAAGGGCACATCCACAAATGCATCCACCGGGTCCTCTTCCTCCACAGCAAGCGGCGGGAATCTACCTCGTGAAAGAGATTCACTTGGGGGACGACAGCCGCAGAGCAGGCAGCAGCTAGAAAACACGTGCGAGGCTGACGGACCCGGATGTAATACCCCATGAGCCGCACCGAGGATGGGATAGCCACCCACAGCCGCATCCCCGGAGTGCGGATACTAGTCCGAACGCCCCAAAGCTTCCCAGAAGAAACCATATTGAGCCTCACATTCAATATGATTGAGTGTGAGGCTCCAGGGAATTCAAGGGGCGCACTATGCACACTGACAAAGGTGAGGGCCCCACTGCGGTCCGAGACAACCACTGTACCACCAGCGTCTCATCCCTTTGTGTGTATTTTACCTCAATAAACTTGTTTCAATTCAATTTCACCAGAGTCTGGCAGGGACAAGGACTACCCCTCGTAACGTCGTAAAAACTCCCTGTAGTCTTCCTCGTCCGCAAACTTCACAATAGCCCGATGCGAAGATTCCGATTCCATTCCGATAGTAGCCACGGAAAAAAGCAGTATAACACATATAACCAATTCCATGGCAGGATATGGAATTAGATATAGGTCCATCCAATAAACTCTAGGTCCACCAAACGAGCCTGCAAAACGGAATGAAAGAGGGCCCCCCCCCCCCATCATGCTGGCCACGTGTGTCAAACGACCAGTGTCCACCAACCATCACACACTCCAGGACACTACTGGAGTGCAGGCAGGCACCTCCGCACCCCCCCTGCCGGCTGGTTGCCGAATCCCCTGCTGTTTTCTGTCCTACATTGTGGCTTGTTGAACTTGAACATATTTTTGCAGAAATCTGTGTATTTAAGGTATTTAAGGATTGCTAGTATCAGATACACTTGCAAAAGTCTATGTATTTAAGGTAGTTAAGGATTGCTAGTATCAGATACACTTGCAGAAGTCAGTTTATTTAAGATATTTTAGGGCTGCTAGCTTGTCTTGCATATCAGAGTGTAAAGTGTTGGATTCCCATGACAGGTTCCTGTATGCTGTGTCCCCGGTGCTGGAGAGGGACCCCTCGGTCCTGGCCATCTCCTCCTTCAACTACTTCGGGTACAGAGACGTGGCTAACTCCCTCACTACAGTGTACCGGACCAGTGAACTCAACCCCTTGGCTCTCCTCCTCCCAGCCACCACCGTCCACCAGTATCTCGCCCCCAAGTGGCTTGTGGCAAATGCTGTGAGTATATTTACCTCATTACCTATCAGTTACTACAGAGAAGCAAGGTCTAGCTCTTCATGCCCCGCCTACTGGCCTTGTTGTACTCGTTGCGTTATAATTCTTTCTTTCTAAAAGAAAGCCTTTTTAAAAGCCTTACTTTCGAATTCTTGATTGAATCTGGCCTGAAATTTGTGAACGGAGGTGATGGCTTCCACAATTTCTTCTTTCAGTGTGTTTGCAGTGATTTTCAGTCATACCTCTTGTTCCATTTGTAATTTGACCATGATCCATCCCTTTTGTCTGCGCAATCTTACATCTGTTGTTTGGTCAGGCTCACTACCATAGTTTGGCCTACCTCACTGCCATAGTCTAGCCTACCTCACTATCATAGTCTGGCTTTCCACCTATGGCCTGTAAAACCGCGTTGCATGTTTTCGTAAAAACATGATAATTTATGCTACTTGATTAAGATCTAGAGATCAGGTCTATTTTATATATCTTCTTGAAAGAATATTATATTTCACTATAGAATGTTTAATGTAATTATTCAATATATAAATTATCGTGAAGCTTGTATTTTTCAAGACATGATCATTCTATTTGATAACTCAGTCAGGGATCTGGTGCCGAGTGTAGTGGTTAGAACACTGGCCGTTGGAAGCGGCACAACCCGGGGTTCCAGTTATGTGCACGATTAGACGATTGGATACTGTTCCTTTACTTCGATTGCCTCTGGTACAGCCAATGGTAATTGGAAACCTAGATATACAACGATTGAGAGATCGTGAACTGGATTAAACAAGATGTTGATTACCTAACCGGTTCTTGAAGCTGTCAAAATATAACTTAATTTAACTGTTGCTGTCTGCTATTTATTGGATGTTGCCCTCTTTTTTTCTTCATTACCATGTTTCATCATTGTAGGCTTCTACCTTTTTCCATATGAACATTAGAATGCTTTAAACTGCAGAAGGACTATTGGCCCATGCGAGGCAGCGCTTACTTTTATCCACCCAAACAATCCAGCGATCCCAGCCTAGTACTGTATATTACCCAGTAATTTCCACCATAAATATATAACCCAATTCCAAACCAGTATTCACCCTTTTTTCGGAATTTAAACTTAACCTGTTGAGTGTTAGATGCTGTGAGAGATGTTGTCTGCCCTCCCACGCAGACTAAGGAATGGTACAACCCGCTTGAAGAGGCTCTGAAAGCAGTACCTGGGAGGGCGCTACTGTACCCTGAAGTGCCTCGGGCACGACACATGGGGTACCGCGGGGTGGCCATCGATGGGGGCATCCAACACAACTTCTTCAGGGACCACGTTCTCGCTCTCACCACCGACTACGACCTGTCTGACGCCGAAGTTCTCAAGTGAGTAGCATCGATTCCTCGCATCAGTCACGAAGACTATCAGAGCTGGGTCATTTATCACACACACAACTAGCACGCATCCTTGGCTAGTTTTGTAGTGTGTGCAGATGTCTCACATGTGACTAAGACGCACCCTTGGTTTGTTTATTAGTGTAGAAATGTCACCATAAGGAGCCTTAGACTGTTGGTGCCGGCTGTTGCTACTCTGCATAACAAAGGATAAAACAGACACAATTTAACTGACTTCAAACAGTGACAACCACATTTCAGATATTAATTTGATTGAGCAAACACAATCCATGTCATTATGTCAATATTTTGCCCCTTATTATGGTTAATTTGTGTGGCTACAATGTCTTATAGGTTGGAGTCTACCCAGTACGAAGCGAGGCTTCTTCAGACGTTGAAGAATTCAGAAACCATCAGGTTTGACTTCTGTAAACACGATCTCCTCTACAAAGAGGTGAGTCTCTACTCTGGTCTTGAATTCACAGAGCATAAGAACATAAGAACAAAGGTAACTGCAGAAGGCCTATTGGCCCATACGAGGCAACTCCTATCTATAACCACCCAATCCTACTCATATACTTGTCCAACCCGCGCTTGAAACAATCGAGGGACCCCACCTCCACCACGTTACGCGGCAATTGGTTCCACAAATCAACAACCCTGTTACTGAACCAGTATTTACCCAAGTCTTTCCTAAATCTAAACTTATCCAATTTATACCCATTGTTTCGTGTTCTGTCTTGTGTTGATATTTTTAATACCCTATTAATATCCCCCCTGTTATGTCCATTCATCCACTTGTAAACCTCTATCATGTCACCCCTAACTCTTCGCCTTTCCAGTGAATACAACTTAAGCTTTGTTAATCTTTCTTCATATGAAAGATTTCTAATTTGGGGAATTAACTTAGTCATCCTACGCTGGACACGTTCAAGTGAATTTATATCCATTCTATAATACGGCGACCAAAACTGAACTGCATAATCTAAATGGGGCCTAACTAGAGCAAGATATAGCTGAAGAACCACACCAGGTGTTTTGTTACTAACGCTTCGATTAATAAATCCCAGTGTCCTATTCGCCTTATTACGAACATTCATGCATTGATCCTTTTGTTTTAAATTCTTACTAATCATAACTCCCAGATCCCTTTCGCAATCCGACTTCGCAATCTCAGCACCATCCAGCTCGTATCTTGTAACTCTATCATCATTACCTAACCTCAGAACTTTATATTTATCAGCATTAAACTGCATTTGCCAATCCTTTGACCATTTCAAAACCCTATCTAGATCAGCTTGAAGTGATAGTGAGTCCTCCTCCGAATTAATTTCCCTACCGATTTTCGTATCATCGGCAAATTTGCAAATGTTGCTACTCAAACCTGAATCTAAATCATTTATATATATTATAAACAACAGAGGTCCCAGGACAGAGCCCTGAGGTACTCCACTAACAACATTATCCCACTCTGACTTAACCCCATTTATACTAACTCTCTGTTTCCTTTGGAATAGCCATGCCCTAATCCAACTTAATTTATTAATCGCAGCGTTAGTAACAAGACACCTGGTGTGGTTCTCAAGCTATATCTTGCTCTAGTTAGGCCCCATTTAGTTTATGCAGTTCAGTTTTGGTCGCCATATTATAGAATGGATATAAATTCACTTGAACGTGTCCAGCGTAGGATGACTAAGTTAATTCCCCAAATTAGAAATCTTTCATATGAAGAAAGATTAACAAAGCTTAAGTTGCATTCACTGGAAAGGCGAAGAGTTAGGGGTGACATGATAGAGGTTTACAAGTGGCTGAATGGACATAACAAATGGGATATTAATAGGGTATTAAAAGTATCAACACAAGACAGAACACGAAACAATGGGTATAAATTGGATAAGTTTAGATTTAGGAAAGACTTGGGTAAATACTGGTTCAGTAACAGGGTTGTTGATTTGTGGAACCAATTACCGCGTAACGTGCTGGAGGTGGGGTCCCTCGATTGTTTCAAGCGCGGGTTGGACAAGTATATGAGTGGGATTGGGTGGTTATAAATAGGAGCAGATCGTATGGGCCAATAGGCCTCCTGCAGTTGCCTTTGTTCTTATAGCACCCCCAATACCATGAGCTTCTATTTTTTTAATTAGTCTTTCATGTGGCACTGTATCAAAAGCTTTGCTAAAGTCAACATCACAATCCTTACCACTATCAACTGCTTCAACTATGCTGGAATAAAAAGTTAGCAAATTTGTTAAACATGAACGGCCATTTGTAAAACCATGTTGCGACTCATTTATTAATTTATGTTTTTCAAGATGGAGATGAATTGTATTTGCAGTTATTGATTCAAGTAACTTTCCCACAATAGACGTTAGGCTAATTGGCTGATAGTTTGACGCAAGTGATCTATCTCCTTTCTTAAAAATTGGTACCACATTAGCTACCTTCCATGACTCTGGCACTCTGCCTGACTCTATTGATTTATTAAATATGGTAGACAGTGGCTCGGAAATCTCCTCTTTGCTTTCTTTAAGCACCCTGGCAAACACTTCATCCGGCCCTGGGGATTTGTTTGGTTTTAGTTTTTCTAATTGTTTAATTACATCCTCCCTGGTAACTGCTAAACTAGTCAACCTGTCCTCATCCCCACCCACATAGACTTGTTCGGCTGAAGGCATATTGTTAAGTTCTTCTTTAGTAAATACAGATATAAAATATTTGTTAAAAATACTACTCATCTCCTTGTCATTATCCGTTATTTGACCTGTCTCAGATTTTAATGGACCTATCCTTTCCCTAGTCTTAGTTCGATATAACTGAAAAAAAACTTTAGGATTTGACTTTGCTTGCTCTGCTATGCGAACTTCATAGTTTCCTTTTGCTTTCCTAATCTCTTTTTTAACATTTCTAACCACTTGTACGAATTCCTGTTCTAAACTGACTTCCCCATTCTTAATCCTTTTGTACCAAGTTCTCTTTTTATCTATAATGTTCTTTAAATTATTTGTTATCCACTTTGGGTCATTAGTATTCGATCTATTCAATTTGTATGGTATACTACGTTCCTGTGCTTTGTTTAGAATATTCTTAAATAAGTTATATATTAAATCCACATCGAAATCCCCTTTTACGTCACCTATCGCTGGGTTCATGTCTTGCTCCAAGACCGGCCCACACCCCATACCCAAGACTTTCCAATCTATTTAACCCAAAAAATTTCTTAGGCTATTAAAATCAGCTTTTCGAAAATCTGGCACTTTAACAGAATTTTCTCCTACAGGTCTATTCCATTCTATGCTAAATCTGATTACTTTATGATCACTGTTCCCTAGCTCTATCCCTATTTCGATGTCATTAATTTGTGTTTCCCTGTTAGTTAACACTAAATCTAAAATATTATTTTCCCGCGTTGGTTCCTTAATGTGTTGCGTAAGAAAGCAATCGTCAATTAATTCTAGAAAATCTTCTGCTTCACTATTCCCTGTTTTGTTCACCCAGTTTATTCCACTAAAATTAAAGTCACCCATGACATAAATACTGTTAGATCTAGATGCTCTAGATATTTCATCCCATAGATGCTTTGCTTCCAATCTGTCTAAATTTGGTGGCCTATATATAACTCCTATTATAATATTATTTGCTTTTTCGTTTAATTCTATCCAAATAGTTTCTGTGTGTGGCTCAGTTTTGATTCCCTCTTTGAGACTACATTTCAAATTGTCCCTAACATATATGGCTACTCCCCCTCCTCGTCTAATATATCTATCTGTGTGAAATAGTTTAAATCCATTTATTTGATATTCAGCTAATAGTTCTCTATTTTCTACATTCATCCACGTTTCGGTAAGTGCAATAATATCTATTTTTTCTGTGCAGACAAGAGCATTTAATTCGTTAATTTTATTTTTTAGACTTCTACTGTTAGTGTAATATACCCTAAGTGAATTGTTATTTTGAGGCCCTTTTCTTTCCCTGATCATTTTGCCAATTCTTTTCTCCCACGAACACATACTTTTATTACCTCCTTCCTCCAAATCAATTCCCATACCACTATCTACTAACAGTTTAAACCCAAACAAACACCTCTAACCACTGGTTCCAACGAGTTCGCAACAGCAACATCCCCAGCCCTGAATAGATGCACCCCATCACGAGCATACATTTCATTTCTTCCATAGAAGTGTTCCCAGTTGTCTATGAAAGATATTGCATTTGATTTGCAATATCTTTCCAGCCGGCAATTGACACCAAGTGCCCTCGACATCCATTCATTTCCCACTCCCTTTCTTGGAAGAATGCCACATATGATCGGGATTCCTCCCTTGCTCCTAACTAATTCAATGGCTGTCCTGAATCTCTGTATTAGTTCCTCACTCCTAACTCGCTCAACATCATTACCCCCTGCACTAATACAAATAATGGGTTTGTTCCCATTTCCCGTCATAATATCATTCATGTTTCCAACAATATCACCAATTGCAGCTCCCGGATAGCAAACCCTTAATCTGTTCCCCCTATCTCTGGCACAAAACGTTCTGTCTAAATACCTTACCTGGGAATCTCCCACAACCAAAATTCGCTTCGGTACTTCCTTAACTTTCTGAGCAGCCTGAGGGGCCTGCGCTCCGCCGCTCCTCGCTGATTTCTGTTCCGAGTGAACTGCAGGCTCACCACAGCACTCGTCCTCCAACACGGCAAATGAATTTGCTGCCCTTAGGGCGTCTGTAGGCGGCCTTGTCAAGGTCTTCTTAAGACCCCTGTCCTTCACGACTCTCCACGATGAGGTCCCGTCAACACTGGTCTCCTCCTTCGTTTCCTCCCGAAGTCTCAGCCGTCATACCTCCTCCCGCAGGGAATCCATCTCTGCTCTCAGAGCTCCAACCAGACTCGCCAAATCCTTCACTAATCCTTCCATTATTGCAATAATAATGTTACTACAATCGGAGCACCAGCTAGCACAACCTCTCACTGTGACTGCACCTGACTGACTATCGTAAGTGAGCACTTACGTGTACACTTACGATATTTTTACGTCTTACTTAGATCATGACTTAGTTTGCATATACTAAGCAGTTTCCGCACTGCGAAGCACCTCTAGGTCCTCTTCGATCAAGAGTTCCTATGTTATGGATGACCTCGTAACGCTTCGGAGCGCGTGAACTGTGCAGTAAATGCAGCCTCTGCTGCCATGATCGAGATAAGTGTGACGGATTAAGTGCATAAATAAGTGAATCGTGGCCCTGATTTGTCAGTAATAAAGAATAGTGTTGTTGTGGCAATCTTATATAACCATCATAGTAAGAACGATATTTATCTATGATGCTGTGATAGGGAGTAATGTATATTATTTTATAATAGTGAGGATCATAGCAAACATCATTAGAATCAATGGAGAACTGCAAGAGTAATAATTCTTATTGGCATTGTCACTTTATTCTTAACTGTAACAATACAAAGTTAAAATTGTAATTTTTATTGTTTGATTATTATTAATAGTTAGGTTATTTATGTTATTTTTACTACCTCCAAACTTGTATTAAAAAAGCAACTTTCCAAACATCATCATTGTTGTTAAAATCAGCAACATTAACACTACCAAAACCGACATGACCACAGCCATTGTGGTCCTTACCAACACCTTCATCTTTACCTCCGTCATCACCATTACATTCCTACCTCTTCGCCCGCAACCACTACCATGATATTCCTACCCCCTCCCGGCCACCATGAAGCAACTATCCCCTACCTTCTCTTCCACCACCATTATATTGCTACCCCCAGCCACCTCCATTATATTGCTACCCCCAGCCACCCTCATTATATTGATACCCCCCAGCCACCACCATTATATTGATACCCCTCAGTCATCACCATTATATTGCTACCCCTCAGCCATCACCATTATATTGCTACCCCTAGCCACCTCCATTATATTGCTACCCCCCAGCCACCATCATTATATTGATACCCCTCAGCCATCACCATTATATTGCTACCCCCAGCCACCTCCATTATATTGATACCCCTCAGCCATCACCATTATATTTCTACCCCTAGCCACCTCCATTATATTGCTACCCCCCAGCCACCATCATTATATTGATACCCCTCAGCCATCACCATTATATTGCTACCCCCCAGCCACCAACATTATATTGCAACCCCCCAGCCACCATCATTATATTGATACCCCTCAGCCATCACCATTATATTGCTACCCCCAGCCACCTCCATTATATTGATACCCCCCAGCCACCACCATTATATTGTAACGTTTATTTTAAATTGTAACACTAAATATATTGTATCCTAGACGATACTGATTAATGCTGAGTGACGCTTCCTACTGGTTGCACTTAGTAACACTTTGTACAAATTGATAACGGTAATGCCTTGAGGATATTAGTTATTGAACACTGGTTATTTATATTTAACGTAATATGAACTGACATATGGTGTACCACTGATGGTTACACCCTTCCCAATGGTACCCTTCCACAGGGAATAAATTAATTAACTACGCTGCCACCATCTTGTCTGTCTTTTAGCTATATCAAGCAATGAGGCAAGAAATATTGCTTGACTTGGAGAGTCCTCTTTTTTAACTGTCATTAATTACGTGCCGGTTGTTAACAAAACTATACACAGAGGAGTTCGAAAGGTTCCATTTAATTGACACATGGAGAGTTTAACATGAGCTTATTGAGTACAAAATATGATATTCACCAACTACAAGTTCCTTCTCTAACACTAGCAAATGTTCAGAAATCTTACATGGACAATATCAAAGATCACACACATTACCTTCTATGTCCTGATCCACGACCTGGGTGAGTCTGTCTCCTGAGCCCCGCTTGATGACCTGCGGCCCACACTGCCTCTGTTCCTCCAGCACTCTCTATCCCTCTAACTCCCCTACAGGAGTATATATACACACTCCCAAACCCATTATACACTGCCACACCTTCTATCAGCTGGAGAAAGACGGGGGGGGGGCGGGGAGGGGGAGATTTGCTGTTGCTAACCTACATTGAGGCGTGTAAGAGGTCTGCCTACACGTGCACAAACACTCAAGTATTTACCATTAAGATGCTTGACAACCACTATACGCCTCTTTCAAGGAGGAGAAATATTAATTATGGGAGTGTGGCTGACCTCTGACCTGGCCAAAAGGGGGAGGTCCCTGGCGTTTACACAGATCTCTGGGTGTTATAATCCCCCCTAAAATGTTTGACAAGATTATCGTGATTAAATATCACCTACTTGAAACTAGCTGACTAAGACTAGCCAGCAATAGTTTAATTAACTTTGCAAGACGATCTTGAGGTCATCTGGGCTGGCCTCTAGGAGAAGGCTTCCTTCCTTGGGGGGGGGGGGGGATCATGGGTGTGACAATATTGATAACCCTCAGCCATAACCATTATATTGATACCCCTAGACACCACCATTATATTTATGCCCCTCAGCCACCATTATTATATTGATACCCACGGCCACCACCATTATGTAGATACCCCTAGTTACCACCATTATATTGATACTCCTAGCCACCACCATTATGTAGATACCCCTAGTTACCACCATTATATTGATACTCCTAGCCACCACCATTATATTGCTAGCCCTAGTCACCACCATTATATTGCTGTCCCCCCAACCACCACCATTATATTGCTGTCCCACCCAACCACCACCATTATATTGATACTCCTAGCCACCACCATTATATTGCTACCCCTAGTCACCACCATTATATTGCTGTCCCCCCAACCACCACCATTATATTGCTGTCCCACCCAACCACCACCATTATATTGATACCCATCAGCCACCACCAATATATTGATACCCTTCAGTCATCACCATTTTATTGCTACACCCCAGCCACCACCACCATTATATTGTATCTACCTCCGTGTTCTGATTCCGTGCCACCAGAATCCACTTGTGATATACGTGGCCTACAACGGCAGTCGTAGTGACGAGGCCAGCATCACCTACATCTTCGGGGTGAGTATAGATGTGTCACACACTGGTGTATGTATCACACACTGGTGTATGTATCACACACTGGTGTATGTATCACACACTGGTGTATGTATCACACACTGGTGTATGTATCACACACTGGTGTATGTATCACACACTGGTGTATGTATCACACACTGGTGTATGTATCACACACTGGTGTATGTATCACACACTGGTGTATGTATCACACACTGGTGTATGTATCACACACTGTTGTATGTATCACACACTTGTGCACACTGGTGTATGTATCACACACTGGTGTATGCATCACACACTGGTGTATGTATCACACACTGGTGTATGTATCAAACACTGGTGCACACTGGTGTATCACACACTGGTGTATGCATCGCACACTGGTGTATGTATCACACACTGGTGTATGTATCACACACTGGTGTATGTATCACACTGGTGGATGTATCACACTGGTGGATGTATCACACTGGTGGATGTATCACACTGGTGGATGTATCACACTGGTGGATGTATCGCACTGGTGGATGTATCACACTGGTGGATGTATCACACTGGTGGATGTATCACACTGGTGTATGTATCATACACTGGTGTAGTGTGCGGGTGTGGTGTCTGGTACCTGTAGTATCAGTACCTTCCTTGGTATATTGGGATGCCCAGTCATATAATGACATTACCACGTAGTTATGGTTCATTTTACAATTCAATGATATAACGGCAGGATGTTTCTGATTTGCCATTTTAATTTCACAAGTTATTTCATTGCGGTGAACATACGATAGGCCTACCAAATGTTCTATCCATACTTCAGAATATGGTCGTTAGAATCGCTGGGCATATATTGCTCTAAATACTATTTATGAGATATAGGCCTAAACAATTAGCATGTGACGTAAACCATTTGTTTCTTGTTTACAGTGTCTTAGAACATGGAGCCTGTACGCGGAGGCTGGGTGGAGGGGGGTGTGGCAGTTTCACTACCACGGCCACTGGCTTAGTGTAGTTGCTGTCCCACTCTCACCGTACAGGTAGGCCTACTGTTGTCGTTGTCCTGCTCTCACCATACAGGTAGGCCTACTGTTGTTACTGCTGTCCCGCTCTCACCGTACAGGTAGGCCTACTGTTACTGCTGTCCCGCTCTCACCGTACAGGTAGGCCTACTGTTGTTGTTGTCCTGCTCTCACCATACAGGTAGGCCTACTGTTGTTACTGCTGTCCCGCTCTCACCGTACAGGTAGGCCTACTGTTGTTGCTGTCCTGCTCTCACCGTACAGGTAGGCCTACTGTTGTTGTTGTCCTGCTCTCACCGTACAGGTAGGCCTACTGTTGTTGCTGTCCCGCTCTCACCGTACAGGTAGGCCTACTGTTGTTGCTGCTGTCCCGCTCTCACCGTACAGGTAGGCCTACTGTTGTTGTTGTCCTGCTCTCACCGTACAGGTAGGCCTACTGTTGTTACTGCTGTCCCGCTCTCACCGTACAGGTAGGCCTACTGTTGTTGCTGCTGTCCCGCTCTCACCGTACAGGTAGGCCTACTGTTGTTGTTGTCCTGCTCTCACCGTACAGGTAGGACTACTGTTGTTCTTGTCCTGCTCTCACCATACAGGTAGGCCTACTGTTGTTTCTGTCGGCTCTCACCGTACAGGTAGGCCTACTGTTGTTGTTGTACAGGTAGGCCTACTTTTTTTTTTTTTTTTTTTTTTTGAGATATATACAAGAGTTGTTACATTCTTGTACAGCCTCTAGTACGCGTAGCGTTTCGGGCAGGTCCCTGGAATACGATCCCCTACCGCGAAGAATCGTTTTTTCATCCAAGTACACATTTTACTGTTGCGTTAAACAGAGGCTACAGTTAAGGAATTGCGCCCAGTAAATCCTCCCCGGCCAGGATACGAACCCATGACATAGCGCTCGCGGAACGCCAGGCGAGTGTCTTACCACTACACCACGGTTACTGTTGTTACACAATTGAAGAGTGGCTCAAGGCTGTCCTGGGACCTCTGTTATTCATAATATATATAAATGATTTAGATTCAGGTTTGAGCAGCAATATTTGCAAATTTGCTAATGATACAAAAATCGGGAGGGTAATAAACACGGAAAACGACTCACTATCACTTCACGACTATCTAAATAAGGTTTCGAAATGGTCAAAAGATTGGCAGATGACGTTTAATGCTGACTAGTGTAAGGTTTTGAGGCTAGGTAGTGATGATAGAGTTACATGTTTATTGAGACAAGAAAAAATACATCCCAAAGGCATAGAGTAGATCAGGCTATTTCTACTCCCCTACCCGCGTACGCGCTAGATGGTGTTGAGATTGCGAAGATTGCGAAAGGGATCTGAGAGTTATGATTAGTAAGAATTTAAAACCAAAAAATCAATGCATAAATATTCGTAATAAGGCAAATAAGACACTGGGATTTATTAATCGAAGCGTTCTTTTTTTGTTTTGCAGGTATATTCCTGCGCGGGCCCTAAGCCTCTAGCTGGCCCAATAGAAATGTTAATAATAAGACACCTTTTGTTGTTCCTTAGCTATATCTTGCTCTGGTTAGGCTCCATTTAGATTATGCTGTTCAGTTTTGGTCGCTCTACTATGGAATGGATATAAATTCACTAGATCGCGTCCAGTGTAGGATTCACAAAGTTAATCCCCAAAATTAGATATCTGTCATATGAAGAAAGATTGACAAAGATTAAATTGCATTCTTTAGAAAGGCAAAGAATTAGAGGTACATGATAAAGGTGTACAAGTGGATGAATGGACATAACAAATGAAATATTGATAAAGTATTAAAAGTATCAAATCAAGACAGAACACGAAACAATGGGTATAAATCGAAGTTTAGATTTAGGAAAGACTAGGGTAAATACTGGGTTGGTAACAGGGTTGTTGATTTGTTTAACCAATTACCACGTAACGTAATAGAAGTAGGATCCCTTGATTGTTTCAAGCGTAAGTTAGACATATGTATATGAGAGAGATTGGGTGGTTATAAATAGGAGCTGCCACGTATGGGCCAATAGGCCTTCTGCAGTTACCTTCATTCTTATGTTCTTACAGGTAGGCCTACTATGATTGCTCTCTCCTTACAGGTAGGCCTATTATGGTTCCTATCTCTCACCTTACAGGTAGGCATACTCTGGTTACTGTCCCTCTCTCACCTTACAGGTAGGCATACTCTGGTTACTGTCCCTCTCTCACCTTACAGGTAGGCATACTCTGGTTACTGTCCCTCTCTCACCTTACAGGTAGGCATACTCTGGTTACTGTCCCTCTCTCACCTTACAGGTAGGCATACTCTGGTTACTGTCCCTCTCTCACCTTACAGGTAGGCATACTCTGGTTACTGTCCCTCTCTCACCTTACAGGTAGGCATACTCTGGTTACTGTCCCTCTCTCGCCTTACTAGTGGGTCTACTCTCTCCTGGCTACGCATTACTCCGGCACCCAAGAAAATTTTTTAGTTCGAAAAAAATGTTAAAATTTAACTAATTGTTATAATTTGTTGCTAAATATTGTTACTGTTTGCCTCAAACGGCGGCAAGTTCATTGTGCACCCATACTCATCCTATGAACAGTAGTTCATTGTGCACCCATACTCATCCTATGAACAGTAGTTCATTGTGCACCCATACTCATCCTATGAACAGTAGTTCATTGTGCACCTATACTCATCTTGTGAACAGTAGTTCATTGTACACCCCATACTCATACTGTGAGTGATAGTTTATTGTGCACTCATCCTTTGAGTAGTGACAGAATGGTTACATATTCCCACAATAGGTACAGGAACTGTACCCAAACCTTCTTCAAACTAAACAAATTACATTTGTGATGAACATTTAGCCTCCAAATAAATAATTTAACTCCCCTACCCGACAGCTATTTGAAGCCCACCGATTACGAAGTTGTGACAGCCCCGCCCACCACCACCACCACGCCTGCGCCACCCTCTTCACGCTCCACCACCACCACGCCTCCTCCCTCGTCCTCCTAGACCTCAGACGCTGCTCATAAAGAACTACGCTCATTCAAGACTCCCAGGAATGTATATACACCTAGAGATGTACCTCTTTTCTCTGCGTATATACCCTGAAAGTTCATTTCAAAACTGAGTTTAGGACTAAAGTATACTTGCTGTTCGGGCAGTAAGGTTTATAATTTGTAGCGTTAATAACCCTCCAGAGGTTAACATGTTTATTAAACCCCAACACCACACAGCAAGACACATTGAGGCCACGGCAAGCTTACAGTAACTCTGCTCTGGAGACTGGTATCGACTAAGTCGTACAGTGTTATAGTCCAGGGGATTTATTAAGAAATACCAGGAACTCAAGATCCACAAATTAAAACACGAAATAATTCGTGTTCCCCAGAGATAGATATGCAAAGGAGAACATCGGTAGGAGCCATGAGGAGGATTCGAACCTGTGCTCTGGGTGCTTCCAAGCAAAATCCTATTCATTTTCTCGTTGAGACATCATGAAAATGTGATCTGTTTGTGCAGAAATGCAACTGTAACTTGCAGGCAAAATAATGAAGTGTGAGTTAAAAACAATTTTGTTAATAAATTAATGAACTAATTTAAACCCAGAGTAAGATTCTATTTTGAACTGCAGGTGGTTACTCATTAATAGCCCTAAGACACTTGTATATTTTCCAGGTAATTTAAGATCAATGTAGATTTCTTGATAATTGAAGCACAGTAATATAGTGATATATCTAGCAAAAATCATAGTATACATGTTAATACGTATGCAACATCTCCATCTTCTTGACGGTACCACAATAAAAATTTGTATGGATCATGTTTCTATATATACCTTCGCAGATTGTAATTTTTGGGCATGTGTTATTTCTCTGAGCATGGTTCCCTCTTCTGTGTTGCTGTTGCCGGTATTCCAAAGCTGGCAATTTTTTCTTCACCACAGGAAAAAAAAGGCACAATGTTCGCTCAGTAGGAGTCGGTAGGGAAATTAATGATTCCTGTGACCACTGACCCTCTGGCGGTAGCCGTCAGGCTACTGGTCACCTCCTTTATTTGTTAACTTTTGTCATTTTAATTGTTGAAGTTAATTGTTTTCATCTTGTGTTGGCGCTGAAGAATATATTTGTGTATGTTTTTCTATCGTTATGTCAAGCATTCCTTAGAATGTCAACTATCCTTGGCTAGATAAAAATCAACAATTTAGCTTCTTTAGTTCAAATTAGGCTAAATTAATCCAAACATTTAGTAAATCGATCGTTTAAAAATCATATTAGTAACACCTGGAGTGGTTAACCTCACCGGCTTCTTGTGCCACCTCACCGGCTTCTTGTGCCGTGAGGGAAGTTCAACAGCAGAAAATTCCTGACGCAAGATTTTCCTCCTGTTTGATCACACGCGATAATACCTACCCCTCCCTCCCTCCTGCCTGTCCTCGCTTGATCGTAGTTGAGCCACAGATGAAACAGAGAGCTATAGGGAAATGATATATCAAGTCATTCATATATGAGTCATTCGTAAGAAATATTTTTTTTTTACCAGCACAAGGGTTAAAGGGACAACCAGCATAAGTTAACCAACGTAAGGTAAGGGAGGCGTAAGGTGATATATTTTCCTTCCTCCTCCAGGCGACTCTGGGGGTAGAGAGGTCTCAAGTAGAGTTCAAGACTGGAGGCGCACACGCATACCAAGCATCTGGGGGAACAGCGCCCCATAATGTCCACGAACCTCTGACACTCTCTCCTGGCCTGCCTCTCCACGTTACGCCCCCTGGACCACCCTCACCCTATTCTGCCTCACATATTTACCCCATTTGTATCCTACACTCTACTATGAGGCTCCGTCTTCTGAAATTCTCGCGCTTGAAATGGGTACTCGAAGCACTTAAGAATTATTATCTTTTCATTCATCTCAACAGTAATATTAGGCGATTATAAGCTGTAATATTTACGAATACGTCAATAACAATTTGCTTTACTGAACAAATCCACAAGGGCCGTGACGAGGATTCGAACCTGCGTCCGGGAACATCCCAGACACTGCCTTAATCGATGCTCCCGGACGCAGGTTCGAATATTCGTCACGGTTCTTGTGGATTTGTTCGTTTGCTGCATCACGTTAGTATGATCTCTGTGTGTAATTTGCTTTACTATTCTCGCTGTATTCGGTCAATAGTGCGCGCGTGCGCAACATCCGTTTATTACAATTATTTAATATGAAAAACATACAACAAGCCAATAATATAGTATATAATTATTTTAATGCAAATGTTTAATCATAAACTGAACCATTGAAGCAGTCAGTTATTCAACTGTTGTTCCTTAATTGTGTTAGAAACAAAATCAGCTGGCACTGGTATTTCCCAATTTTATTTTATTTAAAATACAATATTATGTACATACAATAAAACAAGTACATATCCTCACATACAGCCGACAAAACCCTAACACAACTAGCCTCAAATATACAATAATATATGGAACCTAGCTGGGCTCATACTCCTCACCAGGCCAACCGGCTCTCAAAGCACCCATACAATAACAAAAAGCAATGCACGAATGTGGTAACCTTTTAACTGTAGACAGGTCTCAGTGCACTGACCTCTAAGTTCTACCCAAACATTAGTTGTAAACAGACTGCTAGTGTAAGACTAAACAATCAGTTAACCACTGATACAATGAAAAAAAAAAACTTTATTTTATTTTATTTTATTTTTTATTTTATTTATATATATACAAGAAGGTACATTGGGTTTGTGAGAATACATTGGATAGTACAGTAATTACATTCTTGTAAAGCCACTAGTACGCGCAGCGTTTCGGGCAGGTCCTTACTCTAGCAGATAATTTTAAGTAGGTAAGTTCAATCAGAATTGATAAATGAAAGATACATTACAAGAGAAAAATGAGATGAGAGAGATAAGTAAGTATATTAAAGCACATTGTTATATTAAAGCTCTGATTGATTACATTGACAGCTTGATTAGTAATTTAAACAAGATTAATAGACACCATACAGCAGATTGACAGCACATATAAGACAGCAATGATCACAATGGTAAAGATGTTCAGAATGGGTACATAAAGATTGGGAGACTGGGTAGCAAAAGATACAGATAAACAAGATTTATAAACACCATACAATAGAATGGCAGCACATATAAGAAAACAGCAATGATCACAATGGTAAAGATGTTCAAATTGGGAACATAAAGGTGGGAGATTGGGTAGCAAGTGATACAGTGCAATTTTAAGGCAAAAAGAGAAAAACTATGAAGATGAAATTAGGTACTTTTTAGTATTGATTTTGAATGATGTAAAAGTTGGACAGCTTTTCAATTCAGTAGGGAGTGAATTCCATAAACTGGGTCCCTTTATTTGCATAGAGTGTTTACACAAATTAAGTTTAACTCTGGGGATATCGAAGATATATTTATTTCTGGTGTGGTGATAATGGGTCCTATTACATCTGTCCAGGAAGAGTTTCAGACAAGGATTTGCATTTAAGAATAGGGTTTTGTAAATGTAGTTGACACAAGACTTGAGTAACTTGAGTAATGTTATAATATAAATTAAAAATAAAATAATTAATGCAAAGAGCAAGAGTTTCAGATTCTCCAGTGTATTGATACCGTCTCAGACAGGTATTATACAACATGATACAGAAAAGGCAACTAAAGTTGCATATATCAAATTGATCTCGACTAAGATATACCAAATCTCTATGTCAAATCCACATTACAAGAAACTAGTGCTGGCAGAAGATCAGTTACAGAGCATAAATCACTAGTATACGTGTTATGATATGTTTAGAACTGAGAACTATATGAATGGGCAGTACACAACATCCCCCAGAGAGTGTGATACTGTAATTGACAGAATTATAGTGGAATATTGTTACTTATGGCAGGTAATGAATCTCCCAACAGTTAACATTCCATATGTAAACACAGTAAAACAGTTAAATCTAAGACACTACAACACAATATGATCTTCTTTTCCTTATTTACCAAAATATATGTTACCTTCTTCATTATCAGCAATGTTTTATTTTTTTAAGAAGCTTCATAATTAGTTACATATTTCTATAAAAAAATCAGGCTTTCAGAGTCTCATTTATATGGATACCATCTCACATAGGTGTTGTAAAGTATGATGACACAGACAAGGCAGCTAAAACTGCATGTGATAAGCCTGAAATTGAGTTAGATCTAGGCACTCCAGTCTCTGTTGTAAAAGCCACAATATTTCACATGTTTAGAACCGAGAACAGCAAAAAACATACATTGGACAGTGTAACTATAACTGCCAGAATTAGGCTGGGATATCGATATCTATGGCAAGTGGCTGCAGGTAATGAATTCCCCAATTGTGAACATTCCAATTGTAAACTATGCGAACAAGTGCTAGGACGTACTCTCCAACACTCTATCTATGATTGCCCTGTTATCAATGATTTTAGACTAAATGGTTTGAGAGACTTAGAGCTCTGTAACTTCTTTATTTATTTATTTATTTATTTATTTATTTATTTATTTATTTATTTATTTATTTACTTATTTATACACAAGAAGGTACATTGGGTTTGTGAGAATACTTAGCATGGTACAGTAATTACACTCTTGTAAAGCCACTAGTACGCCCAGCGTTTCGGGCAGGTCCTTAATCTAACAGATAATTTTAAGTAGGTAAATTCTATTAGAATTAATAAAATGATAACAAATACATTGCAAGAAAAAAATGAGATGAGAGAGATTAGTAAGTATATTAAAGCACATTGGTATATTAAAGCTCTGATTGATTATATTGACAGCTTGATTGGTAATTTAAACAAGATTAATAAACACCATACAGCAGATTGACAGCACATATAAGAAGACAGCAATGATCACAATGGTAAAGACGTTCAGATTGGGTACATAAGGATTGGGAGATTGGGTAGCAATAGATACAGTGCAATTTTAAAGCAAAAGGTAAAAAACTATGAAGATGAAATTAGGTACTTTTTAGTATTGTTTTTGAATGACGCAAAAGTTGGACAGCTTTTCAATTCAATAGGGAGTGAGTTCCATAGACTGGGTCCCTTTATTTGCATAGAGTGTTTACACAGATTAAGTTTGACTCTGGGGATATCAAAGAGATATTTATTTCTAGTGTGGTGCTTATGGGTCCTATTACATCTGTCCATGGAGAGTTTCAGAGCAGGATTTGCATTTAAGAACAGGGTTTTGTAAATGTAGTTGACACAAGAGAATTTGTTGAGTGAGATTATGTTTAGCATGTTTAGAGAGTTAAACAAGGGGCTTGAGATGAAATGATTTCAGGGCTTTAGTGTCCCCACGGCCCGGTCCTCGACCAGGCCTCCACCCCCAGGAAGCAGCCCGTGACAACTGATTAACTCCCAGGTACCTATTTTACTGCTAGGTAACAGGGCATAGGGTGAAAGAAACTCTGCCCATTGTTTCTCGCCGGCGCCCGGGATCGAACCCGGGACCTACAGGATCACAAGTCCAGCGTGCTGTCCGCTCGGCCGATCGGCTCCCTTGTTTCTTTTCGGTAGTTTCGTCATTATTGCAAGTTTTCCCTTGCACCTAGATCCACCAGTGTTGAGTTGCCAAGTGGGCACCACCAGTGGGCTGAGTGTTGTCTGAAAGCAGAATTTGTTATTATTCTGATAGCAGATTTTTGCTGGGTGATGATGGACTTGAGGTGGTTTGCAGTGGTTGAACCCCAGGCACAGATACCATAATTAAGATAGGGATAGATTAGTGCATAATATAGAGAGATGAGAGCAGAGTTAGGTACATAATATCTGATTTTG